GGCTAGAAAACCTTCTTATGGTTTGGAAAAAAGTACCTCTGCTACATATTATTTACTTGTTCTTAGATGTACAATGAAAAAAAGCAAGTTCTGATCTGAGCTCTTGTAAATCCTGGATCAAAATAAAAGGAGTGGAGATGGTGAACAAGAGAATTTGTGCATGTTCATCAGCAAACCAATGACGACGACGATGATGATTTATGGATGTACAATAGCATTAAAAATAATGACCAGATAAAACAATAAATCAGATTACATTTTTAAAAGACAGATGGTGAATAACTTGTTCCCATATTACAGACTGTCGGCTGCTTCACAGGCAGAGGGGAAAGAGGTCGAAATGATCATGGAAAACTGAGGAGGGTGCCAGCTGAGATGAAAACAGTCACTGTCCTCAACCAAAGCCTGGCAGAAGATCTCTGGCAGAATTGTCAGAGAGAAGATCTCTGCCCTGCAGGGCCCTGATGGTATTTGGCAGAGAGTTTCACCAGGTTGGGGCCAGGACTGAAAAGGCCCTGGCCCCGGTTGAGGACAGCCGGGTATCCTTAGCTGCAAGGACCACCAGTGTGTTGTTGTCCAAGGAGGGCAACACCTTTCCGGGGACAAAATGGAGAAGATGGTCCCGTAAATAGTCTGTTGGAAATAGATTCCAGTTTTAGCAAAATCCATTTTTTTGTTCTGTGTTAGGATTTTACAGTTTATGTATTAGAAAGTGAGAATGAACCAGCAATGAGAGTCATGTGTAGTACCAAGGAGAGGGAGAAGAGCTGTGGCTCAGTGGTAGAGCATCTGCTTGGCGTGCAGAAGGCCCCAAGTTCAATCCCTGGCATCTGCTGTTAACAGGACCAGGTAGTATGTGATGTGAAAGACTTCTGCGTGAGACTTTGGAGAGCTGCTGCCAGTCTGAGTAGACAATATTGAATTTGATGGACCAAGGGTCTGATTTCATATAGGGCAGCTTCATGTGGTCATGTATACTGATGGTGATTTTTCAAAATGTTCTTTTGATATGAATTTTTAAAATCACCTAATCCTTTTATCATTGTGGTTGTGTTCTTTTTAAATGCTGTAATCATGAAGTGGTGAAGTTGTATAATCCATTTTGCCATCTGCTCAGCCCAACCTTTTGGCAGCTCAAACCCTCAAAAGGAGCTGTGGTGTGATGTTACTGTTTGCCTAGGAATAACTTTCTCACTGCTCAGGCCTGTTACTGGTTGCCCCAGTCCTCAAAAAAAGCTGCAATCTGATGCTGTTTTATTAATTACTATTTGGTGTCTGTATTTTGTTTGAATGTTCTATGTTGGTTAGCCAAGTGATATGTTCTTTTTGAACAGAAAGGTGGGATATAGATAGATTTCTACATTTTTTAACTTTTGTGAACATTTTTACAGTGTTTTTTTTGCACAATACTTATTAAAGAGACAGAGAGACTCCAGGTGTCTTTGAGTTTTATTTGATCTGACTGGCATTTGAGGTGATGGTCCAGTGAATGATCTTGGAAGTGCTTGATGTAGCATTGTTACAGTTACATGTGCTTGGAATGAAGAGCAGTGGGAGATCCATTCAATAGCTATAGAAGCCATCTTGAGTTTATATAGAAATGTGGGGTTACATTGTAACAAAAAATATACAAGTATATGTAGTCATATTTAATGTAGAACACTCATTCCTGGGTTTTAAAACCTACAATTTTCTATACAATTATTCATGCTAACATTTGTATGTGATTACCTACAGATAAAATATAGGAAAAAAGTATTTTTAATTATTGTTATCTGAGTTGGGGTTGGCTTCAGAGATTCATTCTCATTCTCTCTCTCTCTCTCTCTCTCAATCTCTCTTTCTGAGCTACAATAATTTTAAACCTTGCAGTTGCATAAAAGAGCTTGAAAATGTGCCAAAAATACTAAACATTAGGAAGCAAGGAGATCAAAAGAGCTTGAATAGTATTTCAGCTCTGAATTCTAAGTGGAAGGACTTTTTCACATTTGGTTACTATTTTAAAATATAGTATTGGATAACTAACTGATTTGCTGCTCTGGCTTGGCAATTAGTTTGTTCATGAATAAGATATACAAATTATATTAATTGCATGTAATGATATATTCACATGAACTACAGTCATTGATCAAGAGTCATTTCTGATGTGGTCTTTAGTGCTTGACGTGATGCTGTCCACTTAATTTTTTTTAAATTCCTTTAGTTATATAACTAAAATGGGTATGCCTTTGTACATTGAAAAATCTAGCCAGTAGTGCTAAAGAATTATTTCAACATGCATGGACAAGGGGAGGTTTTTATTGTTTAGGTTCTGCTGTAGTGATCACTATTGAAAGCTGAGTTGGCACAAAGCAGTTCCTTTTTCTGGATAAAAGGGAAACGGACTATGAGATAAGTTATTGATGAAATTAACTGCTGAAGTGGAGAGGAAATGCAGCTGGCCAATACATGTCATAGCGTGAGCTCTATTAAATGAATATATGTGCAGTCAACCATTCACAGGAGCCACACTGGTCTTGAACTGCATTGATCTATAGTATAACTCTAAATGAAATTGATGGATGAGAGCAGCCATTGACAGGAAGGGTAAAGAGAACCATGAAATGTCTTGTATGGGAAAGTATGATGGAAAATAGGCAGTTGATTGGAATGTACTGTAGGATTGTGGCATTCTCATGTTGTCTTAAGCTTATTGTCAGTGTTTTCAGTTTCCATAGACATGTCTGAAAAATTCTCACTGTCCATATTTGAATTTTTTTAGAAGTTAATTATTATTGGATTTTCAGCAGTTAATTATTACTTTAGGATGTGTCTAGCTGTACTCCTGGTTTTATTCAGCGTGTTGAAGAAATCTTTATACAGCATTATGTGAAATATAGTTCTTGCATTTTAAGAAAAATGTTTATTTGCTTAATAAGCTTTTAATGTAACAATGTAGTTATTCAAAGTACTTCAGATTCCTTTGCCAGAGTACTGTGGGAAAATTCTACCTCTGGGTCAGATATCATTTCAGATGCCTTCTCTCTCAACCGCGTCCTTCCGAGCAGTTAGCTCACTTAGCTGCTACATTTACAGGCATTAATGAATAAAACATTGGGTTTAGCTAGATTTTATTTACATCAGGGACCACGTACTTTGATTATGACACCACTTTTGTCCAGACTTGGGCACCCAGACAAAATGTACTGATTGGCAATTGGTTAGCATCCTTTCTGAAACACGATACTACTTAATTTTGTTTTTCTTCATAATTCAGGCTTTCTGGTACATTGCCAAGTAAATGCCTGTTGCTTTAACTGCCTATGTAAAATAATTGAAACTGTAAGTTGTTTACACTTTTTGCACACAATTGCAACTGTCTTTGTTGGATTAGACTACAGCCTGCCTATAACATTATGCAATAGATGTATGTTCTTTATATTGGTTATGGCAGGGGTGATCAGATACTCACATGTAGGATCTGGCCCCAGAGCTGTTTTATCTCAGCTCCTAGTAGTTCAAGTAAATGTCTGAGCACACAGGATATCAGTTTATGCAGTAAAGTATACTACCTGTTTCCAGATCACTGTTTAGAACATTGGATAGTCCCCAAGGACAGAGAAGTTTATCATCCAGGTTCACTGAATGTATGGTTAATACATAAGAAGGAGACTTAAGCTGAGAATTCTGCTGTTGGGCCTCTTATATTAGAAACATTATCTTATTTGACTCTCAAAGTATTATTTTAATTATTATACTCCAGTGTTTTTTACTTGGCTTTTATGCTTTAAATTCAATGCATTTGCTTACATCTTCAAATAAATACTATATTAAGTACTTTTTAAAGATGCTGGCTGAGTAGACACAAAGGACATAGCTGTGCTGGCTGTTTTTTTAAGCATATCTTTTCAGGAGCTGCGGTGGCTCAAGTGGTTAAGACGCTGAACTGCAGGCTGTGGAAGGTCAGTAGTTCAGCAGTTCGAGACCCGGGTGCCGCATGATGGAGTGAGCTCCCATCTCTAGTTCCAGCTCCTGCCAACCTAGCAGTTTGAAAGCAAGAAATTGCAAGTAGATAAATAGGTACCACTTCGGTGGGAAGGTAACAGCGTTCCGTGTGCCTTGGTGTTTAGTCATGCTGGCCACATGACCACGGAAACGTCTTCGGACAGTGCTGGCTCTTCGGCTTTGAAACGGAGATGAGCACCGCAACCCTAGAGTCGGATTTGACTGGCTTTCGAGCAAGGGAACCTTTACCTTTACCTTTCAGTTGTCAGGTGCATTTTTGGCAAGGGCAAAATGAGAGACAAATGGGGCTTGCCTATGACCTTGCACTGGGCTTCAGAGGTGTTTGGTCTTTTGAGAGTCTGTCTGCTTCTGAGTGCCTCTGAAACCCAGTGCAATACTAGGCAGAACTTCTACCTTTCTATTGAGCCTAAGAGAAAGGAAGGAGCTGGTTTCTGTAGTGAGATTGAACTTGAGAAGACTTCCAGAGCAGTTGCACATACTATTTTGGAAAGCTTATGAGTTGCAGTACAACTGTAGGTGCAAGTCCCTTTCCTCCCTTCTCTTCTGGTACACTGAGGTTTGAAGGTTCTCCTAAGGAGGAAGACTTCCTGTTGTTTCTGAGACCATCTCAAGCCCAGTGGAACATCTGCCTCAAGACCTTCCTTCTGGCCTGTGATAATGAAGGAACAAAATTGGTGGCCACAGCAAAGTTTAGATGGCCACAGCAAAGTTTAGATGGCTACCAGGACCAGCCAAAAATGGTAGACTTTGAACTTTGTGAAGTTTCAGAAGTAGTGTTGAGGTTCAGTAGAGCAGAAATTGTTGAAAAGCAGGGAAAACTTTTTAAACACATGCCTTTGACTCATAAACAATGTCTATAGAAATTTTTCCATTTTCCTTGTCTGCTTGGTTTAAAATGTTGGAAAACATTTCAGAAACAGTAGTCTTGTGCCTTAATGTTGCTCTCCATTTTAATAAAATTGAAAACATGTCCCTTTTTCTTTTGCAACTTTCAGGTTCATGTTTTGTCCGAACTGATCAGCTAGATGGCGAAACAGACTGGAAACTAAAAGTTGCTGTTAGTTGCACACAGAGGCTGCCAGCTTTAGGGGTAAGTTTTAAAAGCTACATATTTTTATCTCTTTCATTAGATAACACTTATCCTCTGTTACTGTAAGGACAATTTCAATCCTGAAAATATTGTGGGCTTGTGTACCAGCCATTTCTGCAACTCTGTACAGTTTAGTTACATTAAAAACTATCTCAAGAAACATAGTAAGAACTCTGGTTAATAGTTTTATTTTTATGTTTGATACCCTTGTTATTTTAAGGGAAAATGTAGACCGGGTATTTGCTGCTTATAAATTTTTAACTTGTGTGTGTGTGTGTGTTGTATTTGTGTGTGTTGTATTAATGAGTAGTGGGTGTGTTTTACCTGCCTTGACCATAGGATGAGGCAGAAGAACTTTGCAGGTTGCTATGTGTATTTTTATTTCTCAAGCACCACCCCTACCATTTTAACCATTTTGGGAACTTAAGGGTAGTTCAGAAGTAGTGTTTGAAGTGCAAGGGAAGATTACTGTGCAGTGGTGAACAAGTCTAAAGTTCTTGTAGGCATTTTGAAAGCTGTAGGCACACCCAAAGGAGCTCTTTATTTAATGAAAGAGGGAATGGGTAAAGAAATTTTGGTGGCTAGCTCTAGTCAGACAGTTTCAGTGTAACATTAGACAGCTTGTAGCATTCTTACTTACATGGTAGCCTGAATGTTGTACATGTCCAGGCAATTCTCCAATGAGAGCCATCTATGAACTACTCCATTCACCTTTATTATAGTGGGTTTTTAAGAACTGTAAGCTAAAACAACCAGGCAAAAGATTGATAAAATGTACTTTGAATATTGCATGATATTTTGTAATATAAAATGACTTGAATCCTACAATAAATTTCCATTAACAGAAATAGGGGAATAATGTTAACCAGTTTCCTCCTCCCGCTGTTGACCCATAATTCTATTGACCGTTCATGCTAGTCCTGAAGATCAGCTGTTGGGCTCTTTGGCAATAGTGGGAGGGTGGAAATGAGAAAGTCGTGTTATGCTGGCATAAATGGCTTTCCTTACCAGACCCCCTGCCTCGGAATCCAAGCCATTGTGTTTACTCCTTTATAACTTCTCATCATATATTTTTAAAACTTAGGATGGTGCCACTAAACCTCAGGAATATGTTGCCTGCTCACTAGGGTTTCCTGAAGTAAAGTTAGTAATATAATAAAACTCAGTATTTTTAAAAAAGACACAATTCAGTAATTTAATACTTAAGTATAACAGGTAGTCAGTTATTTTTTTAAAAAGACTGATGGTACAATATGCAATGAAATTTATATAGAAGGTGAGGAGGAGGAGTCCAAACAAGAGTGAGGCCCTTTCCCATCAGCCTGCATGAGCCAGCTGTTGCCTGGCTCTGCCCCTCTTGGACTAAGATTAGAGACCAGCCATTCTGCTGCTAAGCAGAAAGAACAGTGGAGGCTGTTGATGGAGGCCCTTTCCATCTGCCTGCCTTGCCGAAATGTTGTCCGTCCGTCCGTCACTGGTTTATTGCACTGCAAGAAGGGAGGAAGAAACAGTAAGCCCTCTTCTACTTGTACAGATTTGTACTGTTCCTTTGTTAGCTATTTTGTTTTTTCTTTTGGGGGGAAAAGTGGTATAGAAGCAGAATAGATAAATATACACACAAATTGTAGTAGCTGAATTCTAAGGCCTGTGCAACGACTCCTGTACTCCTTAGGGGGCAGTGGACTTCTTTGTTCCTTGAACAAAAACACCTTTTGAATCTACAGTTAGTGCAGGAATTGTGGCGATCATGTTTACAACATTCATTTGGAGGTGCAAGTTTGCGTAAAACACAGCTGTATGTGAGTTAAGCCTATTTGCAAGCTCAGTGGTGTAACAATATACTTCAAAATGGTTGCCTGGGCCCCCCAGAGGTATATACAGTATCCCTTAGAAGCTAGTCGGTCAGTCACTTTGGGAGAATAGAGATAGTGGTAGAGGAGTTCCATGTTGCTAGAGATTCTGTGATTATTTAGTGATGTGCAGTTTCTTCTACCATTGTGTGACTTTGTTGTATAATATATCGTGACTTTGGTGTACCAAGAGGGAAAGTATTTAAGCCACATTTCTTGGTTATCGAGATAATTAAAAGCTCACAAGGTCTGTATTTTTACTAAACTTCAGTATCTAGAATGTTTCCCCACAAAATTCTAATATTGTGTAGCCATCACAAGCATTCATATGAGTCATTTACTGTCCTCTCCTCAAATTGTGATAATTTGTAGGATTCCCTAGTTAACATGTAAGCAAATGATTTATATTTCCCTAGAATGGCTTGATTTCTGTGTTTACTGCAATTCTCGAATGCCACCTGCTGGGCTGCTGCTAAAATAGCCGAAGAGATGCTTCATGCTTTAGCTCCTTGCTGCAGTTCTTTCCCGCAGCGATGTAGCTTTGTATCTCTTGGATCTCCCATGGCCAGATCTCCATCACCTAGCTTTTCTTAGAGGCTCTAGAAAAGGAAGGGTTCAGGCTGCAGAGGAATTTGTAGCACTCTAAAGGTGAATTAACTGTTTCAGGTTTAAATTTTGAGCTACCATTTAAAGAATGTTTTAAACTATGATTGATAGTCTAGTGCAGAGAACTCCTAAGTACCAAAACAGATGATGATCTTACACCTTCAAGTGACAGAATCTAGTTTTTTAAAAAATTCTCATTTCTGTAAGTGAAGTGATTGCTTTTTATTCGTATGGCATTCTTCACTTTCTACCTCTATGTATTGATAAGATAGAGTACTGACTGAAGCCTGCAGCATCTTTGGTTCGCCCTCTGAAATGGCAATCAAAGCGGTCGCAGCCAGAGGAATTTTGGCATTCATGGGGCCTGTCTGCAGTTGCAACCAACCAAGTAAATCTCAGTTACACTTGGCACCTTCATCTTTGGAGAACTACCCCAAATACTGTTGCAGAATTAATAGCAAATGATTCTGAGCATTAGTATATTTTCCCTCACCAGAGAGCAACTGTTGTCTGAGGCCTAGTTACCAAGTTTTCCAGGTCAGAGAGCATAGTGACTAGGCAGTCTTGACTCCTCAATGTTGGCAGCAGAGCTTAATTTACAGAAGGGCTCAGGCCTTTTGAATCTTACTTTTAATGCCAGTAATGAGAATTCCACCCTTTCTTTTAGATCAACATGTGAGATTGATAATAAATTATACTGAGGCTGAACTGAACATAACTTGGTTATCTGAAAGAAATAGTTTTAACAATGTAAGGAGAAGTTATTGCAAAATAGTCAGAGTTGAATTGCTTCAAATAGGTTATGTTTTACAAAGAGAGAAAGAAAAGAAGCAGGGTTGGCAGACTAAGCAGTTTGGTCCTTCTATGGACATACATTGTCCATAACAGTCGCTCATTTTGATTTCTGTAGTAATCGGATGTAAAGGATTGTATCTTATGTTGTCACGGGCTGTCAGTTCTATCATCAGTGTAGGCCTGTAACCTCATCCACAGTGACACCAAGAATAAACAAACTGGCAAACCTTTAGAGCTTTCTTAAAGAACACATGACACTACCAAAGATGATCACAACGGATTTTGTTGTCTTTCTCTACCACTTAATGTGATCAGAGAATTAAAATTTCAACAAGTCATTTCATGATGGCTGAGCTGTAAGAATAGTAACACGCTGGTTGGGTTTCTTGGATTCACAGTCATACTTTGGCGTTTTTCAGCACTGTGCATATTCTGGGGCATTCCTCCCTGTCTTAAGTGATCAAGTAAATTTATTAGCAGCAGTGAGGTCACTGTAATTTTCAATAAATGGTGACTTGCTGATTTATATCAAAAGATCCATACAGCAGTAAACAATACCATTTACATTTAATTAGTTTTATTGAACCAGAGGCAATTTTATTTGTAATGAACTGCATGTTATGATTAAGGATGTATTTTAATGATCTTTAAGTAAGGTGAACAAATGTTGCCCTTGACCTAATAGAGGAGGTTTTCCTGCATTATTGATAACTTCGGAGTGATTTCTAAATTATTATTGTGAACTGTAGAAGAAAACATTGTCATTATTGTTCCATCATTTAGTAGTTTCGTGATTTATGAAAACAGGTGCAATCCTACAAAATGCATGCATGTAAATAAGGGGCATGCTCGAATCTAAGCTCTTTTTATATGAATAGAGATGACAGTGCAGTAAAGTCCTTAGCAATAAAAATATTGTTTTCAGAATAAATGGCATTGAGGAATGTAATCAATATAGGACAAGTATTCAATAATGGGATTATTTGGAATATAATTTAATTTGCAATAATTCTGAAGTATGTCACTAGTGTTTTTGATACCTCCTTTTCTTTGAGACATGAATTTCTCTTTCTTTGCTATAAGGGGAAATTTTGATGCAGTACTTGTGCTGTAAATGTATTCTGTTTTGAGAGAAAATTCTTTTAAAAATTGTTTTCTTCTGTAGTTAATAATTTGAAGTGAAGAAGTTTGGCTTATTTTCTTGCATCGTAGCAATTTCTGCGAAGCATGGTATTCTTCATTACTTCATTAATAGTTTTTATTGTGTTACGAGTATGTGTGTGGTATTAGCTTTCTGCTGTACTGAGACTCTTATTTTTCTTTGCACAATAAAGCACATAATAGCCTGGATTATCTAAATTGTAGGTGATAACAGATTGAGAAGAAGTGAATGATGAAGATATAGGACACCACATGTGTATTAGTTTCATATGAATTATTTCTCAAGAGGCTGATGAAAACTAACTTGGAAGAACAAGAATGCAGTCAATAGGAGTTGTGTAAAAGCTTACAATAAATGGCTGATGATTTAACATAAAAACAGTTGATTTGTAATAGAAGATGTTGAAATCTGATTTGCTCTTTTAAAATATGAATAAAATAGTTGGATGAGCAGGTATAAATAATGAAGTAGAAAGTATGGTTAGAGTTCCGTTCTTTTAAGATTAAATGGAAACATCTTGATAAGTAGACCTACTGGCTGATAATATTAGATACTTTTGCTCTCTACCTAGCATACAGTGCATTGGA